GTGCTCGGGGACTGGGCTGTGGACCTAGGCCGGCCCCGGGGTCACATGGTGTGTGCTCATCCACAGCTGCTTCCGAACCGGAACATCGATGACATCCTGGAAGACCATGTGGAGCCAGATGGTAGGAGCAGAGCTCCCACATTTAGGGGAGGAACCGAACTTGGGAACTCCTGGGTCCAAGGGAGGAGCGGGCTGTCCCCCTAAAGCTCGCTCTCCTCATGCAGACCTGCTGCCGCCCATCTCCTTGGACTTCCCTGGCTCATTTGATGTGCTGTCTCCCTCCCCGGACTCGGAAGGCTTCTCTTCCGTCTTCTCTTCTTCACTCCCATCCCCCACAAGCTCCCTGTCCCCTTCTCCAAGGGCCCTCACGGATTCCTTGGACTGGCTGGAGACCTTGAGTGGGGGCCCGCCGCTGGGCTCTGGACCTCCAGGCCCCAGCATCTTCTCTGCAGACGTATCTGACTCCACTAGCACTGGGCTTTGGGAACTGCTGCCAGATGCCTGGTGATGGACCCTGGGGTTTCCAAGTAGACCCTCCAACTACGGAGGACTCAAAATGCCCTCATCCCCTTCTGGCCCACTGCTGCTGACATGTCATGTCCCGGCTTCTGTGTGACTCCTCCCAGTCAGTGTAGTTGCCGGTGGGAGTTCATTTGCTACTGACCAGTGCAAACAAGATTACTGCCTCCTTCAGAGACCTGCAGGGCGTGGGCAACACTTCCTCCAGACTCTGGCTGTCTGCTTCTCATCTGGGGATCTGGGAGTTTGTGCTGTTTGGGTTCAGGAAAGGACTAGGGGAGATTAAGTAGAAGGAAGGCAGATCCCTGGGTTCTAGTGGGAGGTGACTGTGAACTCCCTATGACCTTGCACCTATGAATGTTGTGGTTATACCTAGCTTTCTTGTTTGGTTGAGAGCAAGTCTTGCTATGTAGCCCAGGCTGGCCTCTAACTTGTGACAACCCTGCCTCAACCTTCTGAGTGCTGAGATGTGTGCTGCCATACCCAGCTTAGGTTCCAGGAGCCAGGTGGGGGATGGATGGCAAAAGGGAAGCTAGCATGTGACCTCACATCTCAGGCTGTGAGGGTGTTTGCCTGCTAAATTAAGCTGTGGGTCTCCTGTAGCTCAAGGCTCATGAGACTGGGCCTTTGTACCTGTGTATGGACTTATTAACAAACCCGAAAAACAGAATTGCATTAGATGCTTTTATATAGCTGTGACCAACATACCCAAGGGAATAAGCTAAGGGAGGAGGAGCTTAGTTTGCCCAGGCTTTCAGAAGGTTCAGTTGTGGTTGCTCAACCCCACTTGTTTGGGTGGAACACCATGGTGGCCAAATGTATGAAGGAGATTCTTCACCTCATGGTGGACAGGCAGCAGGGAGAGAGACAGAAAGGAGCAAATATGAGATACCCCCCAAGACCTACCCACCAGTTTCCAGACCTCTCTAAGTAGCATCAACAGCTACACTTGAGCCAGTGTTGGACAATGCATATTCAAAGCATAACAATAATTGGCTATGGTTTACTGGGTTCTGCAGGGCAGTTATTCAGCTCCACAAGGCGTTGGAGAGGGATGTGAGTCATCCCTAAGTCCACATGGGTGAGGACATCCAATATGGCTCACTCACGTATGTCGGTACAAAGGCAGAGATGGGAGAGGGATGAGCCCGACTGGGTCACTGGATGTCTGGACCAACCCTTCTTGTTCTCCTCAAAGCCTCAGCTCTCTTCTCCTCCACATGTTCTTACTCGGTAGCCCAGGACTTCCAAGCATAAATGTTCAGTTTGGAGTGGGAGCTCACACCTGTAATCCTAGCCCTCAGGGCAATAGACACAGAGTTGAGGAGGAGGGTCAGAAGTCCAAGATCAACTTCAACTAAATAGAGTTCAAGACCTCCTCAAGACCAGCCTGGGCTACATGAGGCCCTATGTCAGAGAGAGAGAGAGAGAGAGAGAGAGAGAGAGAGAGAGAGAGA